TAAACCTTGAAGCCTAAACCCAAAACCTTAAACCTTAAAGCCCAAAGCTTATACCCTAAACCCTAAACCCAAAACCCCAAAACCCTGAAACCTACCTTCAAAACACAGAGCCCTCTGAAGCTCAGCCGGGCCTGACATTTCTTGGCCAAGCCTGGCGCAGCATCAGGGCCGCACCATCCCAAAAGCCCAAGCCTGGCTAGAAGGCGACAGCAATAAATAAATAAGTAAATACGTACAAATATAAACAAATAAGTAAATAAACAAACATACATGTATATATATATATATATAGGTACATATATATATATATGTGTGTGCATAGGCACCTTTTCTAGGAGGATCCCCCAGTAACTAAACCAGAATTTTAAGAAGGGTTCTCCCGATTGGGAGTGTAAGGTTTGGCAAGGAACCTAAGACGACGAAAAGGAAGAAGGGGCGCACTGAGAGACCTAACCAGTGTGCTGAGCAATAAACATGGACAACAAACGTCAGCCTAACCCTAAACCGTACGTCCGAAATCCTAAGCCCCCTCAGCGCTGAAGCCTAAACACTAGTGGAGCCATTTAGGGCGCGATAGGCGGGTTGAGACTTGAAAAGGCTTGGGGAGGCTTCAGGTTTTGGGAAGTTGCTAGGAAATACAAGCTTGAATCGTCTGAGAGTTTTAATACTGCCGATGATTACTGGAGATCGTTGGAGAAAAGCATTTCCGATCCCTAATCCCTTTCGTCCCTAAGAAAGGTCAAACAAGTTACAACCGATTCTGCCTTTTGGTTATCAGGCAAGCGATGCGCCAAACACAAGCAACAGCCGTGGAGAAGTGCCTCAATTACAGCAGCTACCTCAAAGCTCGAAAGCCTAGGGTGTTTGGCTAAGGCCACTAAAAAACGTCAATCTCTCCCCTTCTAGACCGGCATGTCTAAAATTCCCGATATCATTCGAAAGCTTGTTGTTTTTGCTGGGTGGGGGTTTAGGTACTGCCTGAAGCTACCTCCTGGACAACCTTCGGCTCAGCGTGGGAAGAGTGACCACATCGAAGGGCTGAAGTCTGAGAATCGCATCCCTCAACACAAGCAAACACACAAACCCTATAATTACACGATATATCATACCCCCGTCCCCATTCGCTGCGACAGAGCCCCGCAATGATTCGATGCTTATGAACAAAGTTACATGTAGAAATCCGATGTCAGGAATCTGAACCCCACAGGGCTATATAAACCACCTCCCCCCGACGGGGCTGCTCTTGGACAAGAGGGCGATTTTTGGTTTATGGAGGTTGGCATTTGGAGTGTATGGTTGAGAGAGTTTTTGGAGAGCTTAGGCATTTCGGGTTCAGAGCTGTTTAGGGAGTTGCCTGAAAATGCTTTTATGTTCTCTCGTTCGCCTTTACCGTCGTATATCACCATACCAACACGGAACTTATCGCCGACATCCGCTGACCGAAGTTCTTTCCCGGCCTGGGACAAAGCCACGGTGTTCCGGCAATGCAAACCTGGAGTGTACAGTTTGGGCTTTAGGCTTGTAGTATAGCAAGTATACGGTACAGTATACCATGCTAAAACTATACTATACTATACCATACTATACTGGGGTTCACCGATTAGGGCTTACAGGTTTTAGGCTAAGCTTGACAGTCCATTTGGACTTTAGGATTTCAACCCTCGGTCGGCAGTGATGGTATTTTCCATCGCTTCTGACCCCATACAGGCAGGTCGAGGCAGGACACATGAGGAGAATACGTATAGATAGATAGATAGATAGATAGATAGATAGATAGATGAGGTAGATAGACAGATACCTAGATAGATAAATAGATAGATAGATAAATAGATAGATAGATAGATAGATAGATAGGTAGATAGATAGGTAGATAGGTAGATAGATAGATAGACAGATAGATAGGTAGATTACTACATGCATACATAGATAGGTCGGCTTTCAGGTTCATGATTGACCAACCCTGCACTTCCAAGGCAGGCCACTCGGAAGGCCAAAACCGCTGAAAGTGCCCCAGTGTCTCTTGCACGAGTGCTTGGTGCTTGTCGCCGTCATCCCAGCAGTGCATCAGCCTGGGTTCTGAAAATGGCCAAGGGGAGAGAGGTCAAACTGCTTCTGCGACATTGTGCATCAGCTTTTCCTAATAACATCAACTTACTCCAGAGCCCTGTTTGCCCTATGATGTTTTCATGGAACAATGTCGAAAACATCCACCAAACAACAAGCAGACCACTTCAAACTGTAAAGTCCAGTAGCTCCACAAGCCAATAGGTGGTGACTGCGTAGACCTCGCCGTGCAGTTATCAGCATCAATGCTTTCCCCAAACACGATAAACCCTTACATCCTCGAACTTTCAGACCTTAAACGTTTCGGGGCCTGGAAAGCCCAGAAGTCGTCTTCTTCGTTCCCTGGCGCAGTAAACGCCTCGGCAGCTCGAGCCGTGCCCAACTCCACGATGGCATGACCTGTTGTGTTTAACTCGGGCTTTAGGGGTTTAGGGCTCTAAGTCTGAGGCTAATATAGGTTTTAACTTGCCCCCCTCATTTTCCGCCACCTGCTTGCTGGGCATCTGGAACGGCTTCAAAGAGCGCGCGGACAGCGGCCAAGGAGGAGGTAACGTGAGAGTCCAGCCAGTTGCTGCTGGATGTAAGTGCAAGTTGCAAAGCCTTCCACTGCGGCTGCTGCATGAATTCGGCCAGCTCCTTCGCGGCAAGGACTGCAACCCAAAGCATCCCAAACCCTCCTTGAAAAGGCCCCATAGGGGCATCCACATACTGGGGTTTTGGGCTTGCCAAGAGCAGGTCGCTAGACTTGCCGCTTTGCCGTTCAGAGCCTACCTAGACCTTCACATGTTGCCTTTTAACTTGGACAGCAGGATTCCTTTAAAACTTGGTGACGGTATAGTTTCTCAATGACAGACCCTGGCGCAAATATAGGTTGTGCCCCCGCCAAGCCCTGAAACGTCAAAGGGTCCTGGGCGGCAGCTTTCGGCATCACCCGTAGTGCCAAAGCATAGGCTCTCTTATGGCGAGTCCTGTGCAGGCACAGGCCAGGGCCACCTAGGGGTTGCGGAAGAGTGCTGCTCTGTCTGCCGCCTGCTTTGCTAGGTCGAGCTGGAAACTCCTCTAAACCCACAGCTGAAAACCCTAAACCCCAATGGCTTAAACGTTCAGGAAACCATGTGCACAAGAGGGGTTACGATGCAGGGGTTGTGGCTTGGGATTTGATTTGGGGGCTGCGGGTTGGGGGTCTGCCGCCACGGAGGCATCAAATCCTTTGCCCGAAAGTCTGAGGTCACTCCTCCAGACTTCTCTGTAAGGTGGAAGGCAGGCACAAAGTGTGGCGACCAAACTACAACCGACACCAAGAAGCACACGCAAAGCGACGCTTGGGTTGCTTTTTTGGGGGCTTTGGGCCTTGGCCAGGTTGATGGCAAAGTGACCCTTGCCTGCAAGCCAGGATTCCACAAGTACTCCGTCACCTGGACAGGGCACTCACTCACGGGAATAGGGTTGGGGGGGGGTTTGGTAGCTAATTTGGCAGACTGTATGGGGATACAATCTGCAAACCTTCTCGAATGGGACCCCCAACCTGCATCCCCCCTTACTGGGTTCTTGTTAAGGGA